TGTGATATGAGGGGCTCGCTGGCCTTAGAGCAACCTTTTTTGCTTACTGAGCAGAACATAATGAGTCTAATCTCAAACCCATCCACACTCAAGATTCGTCAATCGTTTTATTTGTTAACATGACTACATTAACACACTTCACCTGCCTAGTGGTAAACGTTTTTGCTTACTGAGCAGAAGACCGTGGGTTCAATCCCAAGCTCATCCGCGTTATATAATCGTTAAGACATCAATTCAGCTTATCTTTTACCAAAACGAACCCTGCTGCAAACTCAACCCTATTACCCAATAATCCCAGTGATTCCTCGTGGAAGTGCAGAGGTGTTATCGGCTTCCATCAAAGCGAGTGTCACGTCAACACACTCCTACCCCTCCCTTTCTTGACCTGTGTTTGGGCGTGGCCTGCGCTAGTATTGCCTAGTTTGAGATCACCAGTTTTTACACATTGAGGATGATTGCTAGTCCCAAGCATCGTCTTTTGATTCTCTGTGTAATTACAGCTGATCTGGCAATAACAGAGTAGCAACCGTTGGCGGTCAATCATGCTCATGCTCATGCTCATACTCAGTAGTGATTTAACATTTCAATTGATTAGCCTACCTGGCTCTTCATCTGGTTTGATTGGATATTATAATTTAATATTTGCGATTTTCATCCAGTTTACAGAATACCCCTTGGGGGTGTGTTTCGTTTTAATAGAAAAATGTGATAACCTATTTAACTACGAGTATATCTTAGCGTAACGTGCTAGATTTGATGATCTGATCTCAGACAGTCTCAACCTTTCGAAGAAGACCATTCGTCGCTCTTTTAGAGACTGAAGACCAGCCAGGCGGTGGACCTCACAATTTTGCGTTTGTGGAGGACTGTTTAGGATCATCCTAAGGATTTTGTTCTGGATCCTTTGGAGCTTAAAATAATGGCATTTGATGCAGCTCCCCCAGATTGGCATACCGTACTCGATTACGGAAAGGATGATTTGCTTATAGACAGCAAGCTTATTTTTCTGGGACAGGATGGACTCCCTGTTGATAAGTGGATACAATGCTCTTATCAAGCTGTTGCACTTGGTTTGTGTTTTGTCAACGTGCTCCCTTAAAAGCAGCCCACTGTCAGAGTCAGTCTTTGGACCATTCTACCACTGTGCCGTTTAGACTGATTTTGTTATTCTCAGATGGAACAAATCTGGGGGATTTTAAGTGTGGAAAAATATGACCTAGGCCTTCGCCACGTTGATAAGGATCTTCCAGCTGTTGAAATTCTCAGACAGGACATCCAAGCCTCTCTGGAGTTTGGTAGTCAGAGTTCCGATAACCCTATCCTGGTAGACGATGGATGTGACGTCTGCGAACAGAGAAAACGATCAACCACCAGGGACATCCGGATTATCGTAGGTTAATAGATTGAACAGGATGGGCCCAAGGATATTTTCTTGGGGCACACCTCCACCGAAGTTGAAGGCATCCGATGTGATGCGGTTCAGAGAGACCTGTCCGATCGATAATTTTGTTTGATATTCACGAGGAAGATCTGAAGACCATATCGTTGCAACTTGTACACCAGGCCATCATGCCAGACATTGTCGAACGTTTTTTCAATGTAAGAATTGTAATTGATACTCGGGTCAGTTGGTGGACGGTCGATTGACCTTTTCGAAAACCAAACTGCTCCTCGAGTAAGATGTTGTTTCCTTCGGCAGATGTCAGAAGCCGGCTGTAAACTGCCCTTTCGAACAGCTTGGATAACCCTGAGAGAAGGCTGATGGGTCGGTAACTCGAAGGAGAGGAAGGATCCTTCCCAAGTTGCCGTATGGGTATGACTTTAGCTGACTTCCATCCCGAGGGGAAGCGCCTTCATATTTTTGGATGACTTGATATAGGCCAACAGTTCGTCAGCTGTGATCTTGAATTCCTCAGGAAATTTTTTGGGAATCTGATGGAGGTTGGCTTCGGTTACTGAAAACGTGAAAGAAATGCTGTTCTGTCCGATATTGTGGGAGCTGATCAAGTGTTGACCTATTACTACAGCCTTCTTTACAGGGGTTATCAGATGAACCACTGAATCCTCGGAACGATTCAGCGGTATCAGTGGTGGAATGGGCCTAGGCTTGATCCTAAAAATTTGTTTCCAGAACGGCTTAGCACAATCTGGGAGAGAGCGGATCTTACTAGCAAAGTCTTTATTTCTGAGATCCACCATCCTGGCTTGGATAATTTTAGTAAGGCAATTGCAATTGATCTTATGGACGGGCAGACCAGAACGTTGGTATTGCCTTCGGATGGTGTTACGGAGTCTTTTAAGATCTTTGGTAGATCTGTCAAGGTTCAGAGTATTGATCACCTGTCTGGATACTGGAACGTGTTGTTCTGAACTGTTTTAGAGTAGTACGGATTCAGTCCCAGCCCCGTGAGGTAACAGATCTCTCAAAACAATGACTTAACTCGGTTAGGATACAATGTGGAATGAATTTTATTTGTTCTTTCTTATGGATCTACTGTGGTGGCCGATACACACTTTACGCTGAGTATGCAACTTGCAGTTTATCGCACTCCAACCGCACAGTATGCTTATGCCTACTAAGCATAAACAACTATCGTCTGAGCTCGATTCGTTCGCTTGTTGCAACACATAGGCGTAGCTAGGGGTGCATCCACCACAGTTCCCTGGCCCGGGATATTGCCTCCTCGATGGATTACAGACACCGGTCAACGTTTTCGGACGACTTCGGTGGGACATCATAGGCGATGGTTGTGTCGACGCAGTGTTGTCATTGATCCTAGTTGACACGATGGTAGTTGCACCGTGAAGCTTCGAATCGGTTCAACGAGGAACCAACTTCGGCCACCACCGGATAGTGGTCCGAGCTGAGTTCTTGCTAGGTGATAGGTTGAGCGATGTTTTTACCCATGTTGCTGATGAAGATATCGATGGTAGCGTGAACACCGGACCGACTCAACCGACAGGAACCTGCGCATCCTGTAGGCCGTTGTTCAGGATGGTGACGATTGTTGGCCCAAGCTTGACGTTTGGCGTTCAGGTCCCCAGCAATGATGAAGTTTTCCCGCCGTCGTGTTCACTTGACAATATCTCTTCGCAGGTCTGCTACCGACCCATCTCAGATGTTGACTTGTTTGGGGCTGTATGCCGCAACGATGGTGAATCGACTGACATGAGTAGAGACTTCCATCCCCTCGGGTTCGATTATCTTCAGCTGGCAGCTCGGCGGCAACCGACAGATGATGTTCCTCCTTAGAGCGGTGGACACTCTTCCTCCCCTGGAGCTGGTTCGATCCAGCCTCACGAGCCCAAAATTGGGAAGGAAGATGTTAATCTCTGGCTTCGAGTGTGTTTCGGTGATGATGGCGATATCGAAGAATTCAACGAACTCTTGCTCCTGAGCGGCAATTTTGATGGCTTCAAGGTCCATACTTATTGATGAAGAATATCGCAGCATAAAGCTGTTCTGAATCATGATTACTTTTGTCACGAGTGTAACAAGTTCCGCCGATGTGTGTCTGCATTCGCGATCGCTGGTGAAGTGAGAGTACCTTCATACTGCCACGATAGCCTCGGAGGGGGAGAGGTGCTTTGGGATGCAGCGGTTGCCGCATATAGCTGACGACTTGAGTTTACTGGAGTATTATCCACCCCAGCTGTTGGTGGGACCAATGCAGCACCCGTGAAACGGTTGTTGAGTGGAAGTTGTGGATGCACCAGAATTTAGCGCCGTTGCAGGATGGCTGGAAATTTCTGCCCGTTATTTTCTGACACTCTTCTGCGGCCAGGTTGATTCTTCATAGGTAATGTGGATAGCAATAAATTCCGCTCGCTTCGGGCATGTCTTGCTCGTTGCCCGATGTGCTACACTACACACTTATAAATACCTAATCTTACACGTGACGGAATCCATCTTTAACATAAAGGATGAGACGTAAACAAACATTTCATGTAAAATTAAGTGCTCCGAGACTGAAAAGTTCGAAAGTACGTTTGATTGAGCTAAATTTCACGTCTGTTATGAATCAATTTTATGTCAAAATTGACGCTCGTATATGTCAGTCTCAGAGCACTCAAATTTACATAAATTGTTCTAAGTGTGTACAATTGGCACATTTCAAGCTGAACATTGCATTAGGTCCTCAGTAAAATTGACAGATTAATCCTTTAAATTTGTCGAACCTCTTAACGGAATCCCTTTATGAAGAGCTTTGAGTGGGTTGGTTTATTTCCTTTAAATTCCGTTGTAATTGCTTATCTTTTGACAGATACGCGTATTTCGTCTACTACTTGCAGACTTCATCAGTGTCAAGTACTCAACAACCCACTCAAAGCTCTTCACATTGAAAGATTCTCTTCGTCGACTTTCTCTTTGTATCCCCACGGCCATGTAAAGGTATTTCATGTATGTATTTTGATTTAGGGTCTGCTTCCTCTAATAGTTCGCAGGCATCAGGTGCGTGTTGCTTGCCACAATTGATACAGCGGAAAGCCATGTGTCAGTTTTTCGTTCCATGCCCGAACAGCATGCAGTTTGCGCATTGGGTGACATCACGGTGATTTGGCTTGTACTGTTTCCAAATCAGCACGATGTGGAAAAGGGCCCAAATGCTCTGAAGGTCCTTCAAGATATAAATACAACTGGTTACGGTACTTACGTGAAGCGTCATGACGATTCATCTTGAAGATTTGGATCGGCTTGAGTCCATGTTGCTTCTATTTATCCGACAGTGTGTCTGTTTCCATGTCGGGAAGGCCGTGCAAGACCACCTTCAGCGACTTGGTCGCTTCATTATCGTGGGAGAAATACTCCACCTTTTACTGTTTCAGCTACGACGGCCTTGTAGTTATTCATCTCTAGAACCATCAGCTTGATGCCTTCGGTACACATGCGCATGAGACCTTTACCAATGTGAAAGTCAACTTTCTACCGCAAGCCTTCCGGGAATCCTTTTACAAAGAACGGTGGAACTTCTCCTTGTTTTCCACCTTCTGTTTTCCAGGATGGCCTAACGATTGTTATCCAACAGCTTCTTCGATGCCATTTGAGCATCGAGCATGCGGTGTACGATCGGGATCATTTCCCAGCAACACGCCTCGGTTTCCCCATGCTGGAGTCGGGCGATGCTTCACCAAACACCACCAAAAAAGGACAGCGAACAGTATAGAAACTAACATAGCGAACAACTCGAAAGAGCGAGTAGAAACTGTTATGCTGAAGGAGGAGCACGAAATCAGAAGAAATACAGTTTATAAACTGTCAGTAAGCCCCCGCCTGATCCCATAACTTGTCGCCATCAAACTACTCCATTGTTACATTAAAGTGTTTTTGTTACTTCATACGTGAAGTTTACGATTTTAAGAGTTGGTTGGAAATGGTATTTAACTTGAAGCTTTAGTGTTATAATTTATTAGCTAGAGAAAGGTCTGAAGAGGGTAGGTTGATAGTTCGCTAGAGTACAGCAGTGGGAAAATTTAATAGAAGTTGAAAATGAGCGAAGGGCCATTAATGCGACAGTACTAGCATAGAGGTAAATCTAAGACCAGACGGTCCCGATGAAACGTGCTCAACTTTTTGGCTCAGCTCTGGTACTATCTTCGGTCCCAAGCTAATCGATGCACCCCACGAAACATAGAAAAAATCACGGACCCCTTATTTTATCTGTCAAACTTTCATAGTGAATAAAAACAAACATAGTGTAGTACTAGAATTTAGACTATAATGGGGTACGCTTATAGATGTGCTTGAGACCAATAGGCAAGTCAAGTAGTGAGCCAATTTAAAATCATTAGTTTCCACTGGTTGGTACTAGTCAAACGCACACTTCTTTACCTAACTCATACATGAATGGGTGAGGAGACTTGAAGTATTTCTTCAAACCCACAGGCAGTGATGCCACACATTTTCAAACAGATGTTGCTCAATATTTTGATACCGATATTTGTGTATGGGTCATTCCACACCAAGTGACCGAGAAACAATACAAAATTGAAATTGACCTCTGCTGATTTGGACCAAATTTAGAGGAGATGTTCATTATAGTCTAACTTTTAAGAATCCAAATGTTTTAGTCGATCAAGGCACCTCTCCGTCCAGCATTTTCTGTTTTTCGTTTTTTTCTAGAAGCACTACTTTCTTTTAGCAATATCAACGGAACATATACTGCTAGAATTAACATTATGGTTGTTTTAATGAGAAAATTCTACTGACAAATTTAGGGCAGTCTGGAGAAATTAAAGGAAATTCAGAAATCTTTTGGACAGCCTTAATAACATCAGGAAAGTCTAGGTCATTGGATAAGTTATGAATTAATGTCGATAATTTAAGGGCAGTTCCTTCTGCTTCAGTAATATCTCGAGAACTTCAGTGAAACTCTTTGATATTATTTTATTTTGCAAGCCAGAGGGGGGTTTAATGAAGTTCAAGTCTCAAGTACACAGGGCACATTGCAGAAGGCGAGTGGAACATGGTAATCGCTTGAAAATTTTAGATCTATATTAATTATTTCATTTTGATTCCAGCAACATTTAAGGAACTTAAAAAAGTTTCAGAAATTTCAGGGCAGTAAAGACATTTCAGAAATCTTCAAAAGCTAGAATGAGCCTACCCAGTGAGACCTCCCTTAGCTCAGTCGATAAAGGCGCAGCTACAAAGCAAGACCATGCTGGAGGTGGCTGGGTTCGATTCCTGGTCTGGTGTAGGAATTTTTCGGGTTGGAAAATTTCTCAACTTCCCTGAGCATAGGGCATAATTGTACTTGCCACACAATTATACTAATGCAAAAACGGTACAGGCATCGAAAGCTCTCAATTAATAACTGTGGATGTGTATCTAGAACACTAAGTTGAGAGCACGCAATAAGCTAATATGCGTATGCAATAAGTTTGAAATGCGAAGAAGAAGAAGAAGAAGAAGAAGAAGAAGAAGAAGAAGAAGAAGAAGAAGAAGAAGAAAGACATCTCAGAATCTCTCCAAAGGCCAGAATGTTCCTACCCAGTGGGAATATTAACCAGTTGTTTGCTGTGGAGAGGGCAAAAGTTCCCTAAACTTACAGATTTTTCCACCACAATGTATGATCTGCGATATTAGTCGGTTTATAATTAGATTTTTATGTAAGATCATGCAACCAATTCTCTGTTGTATATAATAAGAAGCTTGATGGGGTTATTGCCTTAAAATAGAATCACCTCTCGCCAACCTATAAAATCTCCTAAAGTGAGAAAAACCTTTGCATGTGCTACTAGCGTAAATCATTCCCCAACGCACTTTTTTCAAAATCCCACAGCTATCACCACATCTCACTTCCACACTGCAGCTTCCCGTGACTAATGAGCTGTTTGGACATACTTGCGTTCCAAATTTACTACACATGACAACCTGTTTATTTTCGCTTAAGCTCGCTACCATCAAACTGCGATTCCTCGATCTCATGACGCACGCTAACTGCAGCAGAAAATCCCACCGGCAGAGCAAACATAAACATTTCCATCGAACAGCTGTTCGCTCACCTCCCATCCAGCCCCCCAACTCGTCTCTTCACGCGTCAACACGGATGGATGAGGAATTTTAAACTACCGACAAGCGTCTCGCACTCATTCACAGATGATTTTCCACATATTTTCCCTCGGCAGAGGCAGGCGAGAGCGATTACTCTCCTGATGGGAGGTTATGAACGAAAATGGCATAGATCAGAACGGTATGCCGTTCCGTCTGTTTGGAATAAATTTTAAATGTAATATTTTTCTAAATGATAGACATAGATCTGTGTCGAAATTGAGTGACATTAGGCTAAATAAAAACAGTGTTTTCTAAACACAGTGGGTTGGAGAAAACGTAGATCATATGTAAGTGTCTTCAAAACTATACTCTCCTGGGAAATTTATGATTATGTCTGTTTTTATTATTTACCATCACAAGCAAGGTGTAGCGCTTCACCCATAGAGGTAACTCTAAGACCAGAAAGTCCCGAAGAAACGTGCTCGACTTTTTGGGACAGCTCTAGCACTATCTTCGGTCCCAAGCTAATCAATGCACCCCTCGAAACACAGGAAAATCGATGAACCCCTCATTTTATCTGTCGAACTTTCATAGCGAATCAAAACAAACATAGTGCAGTACTAGAATCTCGAAAAGAATGGGGTACGTTAGTCGATTTGCTTGGGACCAATAGGCTAGTCAAGTAGTAAGCCAATTTAAAATAGATAGTTTCTAAATCATCCCCACCAAGATGAAGACGAATATTGATATTGACAACAACAGAGGCGATAATGAACATCCAGCCCAGCGTTGCCAGATTTATCGGTATTTGTACCGATTTTCAAACTTGATACCGATGTACAGATAAGGCTCATCAGAATACCGATTTTTTAGATTTTATACCGATTTATACTGATTTTTAATAATGCCTGCCTACGCTCAAATGTGGGAGAAAACTAGTGTGAGAGACTTTTATCGTTCTGAATATGCTCAAAAATAATTCATCTACAAAAAAATGTCTTAAAGAGCATTTATTAAGTCCGTCCGCTCTAAGGGGCGAGGAGTGACAAGCAACCCAACTAACATTGAAAGCTGAATAGGGACTTCTTCAGGCAAATATATGCGGCTTCAGCTAAGAAATATCTAATTCAGCTTTTAATTAGCTCAAATTGTTAGTTGGGAATTAGGTATAGGAAAAACGTGATTAAAGGGGGGAGGGGGAGGGGTTGAGTTTCTCTAAAATGACGTGACGTTCTTAATGCATGCTAGCTTATGTTTGATACTCCTTCGAGTATGGTTCCATTTCCTTGCCGTGTTTGGCTACCCATAATTCGCGAAACAGCTATTAGCTCATCTCGATAATTGCTGGGAGTCGGGAAATACTTTTGTCTTTTATGTAAAAAAAAAAGCCCATCAGAATGCTATATTATAAACTTTCTGGAGTTTATTTAATCTATCCTTAGAAGTTTCTTTAAACTATCCCCTGGAATTTTCTTCCATCTTAGTCCGTAAGCTATTTTCCAATTCCTCCCGGTAGATTATTTCAAATTTCCTGGAAAAATCGGTCGTAAATAGTTGTATGACTCTAAGATTTTACAAGCAAAAAAAACAGTCTAAGCCACTCCAATACGAAATATCCCTTTACAAAGTGTATGTATCCTTCACAAGCGCCACAAGCTTTTGCAAGATCTTGCAAAGATTTATGAGCGATTGTGAGGGATTCGTATGCTTAGAAAATGGATATGTATTTCGTCTTGGATTGGTTAGCACTGGATTTTTTACCCCCGAAAATCTTAAAGTCATACCCCTAACTTCTTAGTCCAAACGTATAAATTTTCGCCATCGGCAAAAATATAAAATTTATTTGATGATGTGATGTGATGTGATGTGATGTGAATGGAACACACCGTCAGTGTAAGGATTACCAATGTCTGCAGATACTTTACCGGTTGTAAAATTCTGCCTGATGGTTTGTTGCAGCAGGGTGCATCAGCTTCATTGAAGACCTTTGGAAGACAAAACGACCAGAGACCCAGTATAATATATAATGTTTTAATATATATGAATTACAGTAATGTTCCACCACATGTTCAAAAATGTGCAGACATTTGGCGTTCAATGATGATTTCAAAAGTACCGAACCACGAACGTTGCGATTATCAGACCTTTACTTTCTCAACTGGTCCCTCCATGCTTAACAAAAAAAAATATAAAATTTATTTGATACCGATAAACTTGAAAAAAAAAACTGGCTACGCTGATCCAGCCACGAATGAAGAAAAACAAAGCTCGATTACTTTTTACTGGTAGCTCGCACACGCATACTAACACTACCATCAGATAGGGGAAATTTCCCCTACCTGCTAGTGGTGTTAGTAAGCGTGTGCGAGCTACCAGTTACGCCAAATCGACGATCCAATTCCTTTTTTTACAAAAGCTGATACGTCCCTTTGAAAAATTAATCGAGAAATGTTGACTTCGATACTTGGAGGTTGCCTTGTTCAAGAGAATGCTGTTATGTTAAAATTCAAATTCGTGCAGGTAGTTGGTCTATCTGTTAAGGTTGTTTTCATTTTCAGCTATTTAGGTTGAGTGTAGAAGAAATGATTTTTATCAGCACTGATTCTAATACAGATGTGTACAAAAGATATGCAGCATGAGAAATAAAGCACCGCTTATTCAGATTCTGAA